TACCTTGACTAAACCCCTGAGAGGCAAAAGAACTGATGAGAGTGGGATTCGAACCCACGCCACGAATGACCAGATTACGGGGGGACAGGAACTGTCCTGGTCTCCTTAGTCTGGCGCCTTAGACCGCTCGGCCATCTCACCATGCATTCCTTTAAGAAAGACAAACTGTGGCGCAGGCCCTGACTAAACCCTGAGGTAAAAGAACTGATGAGAGTGGGATTCGAACCCACGCCACGAATGACCAGATTATGGGGGACAGGAACTGTCCTGGTCTCCTTAGTCTGGCGCCTTAGACCGCTCGGCCATCTCACCATGCATTCCTTTAAGAAAGACAAACTGTGGCGCAGGCCCTGACTAAACCCTGAGGTAAAAGAACTGATGAGAGTGGGATTCGAACCCACGCCACGAATGACCAGATTATGGGGGACAGGAACTGTCCTGGTCTCCTTAGTCTGGCGCCTTAGACCGCTCGGCCATCTCACCATGCATTCCTTTAAGAAAGACAAACTGTGGCGCAGGCCCTGACTAAACCCTGAGGTAAAAGAACTGATGAGAGTGGGATTCGAACCCACGCCACGAATGACCAGATTATGGGGGACAGGAACTGTCCTGGTCTCCTTAGTCTGGCGCCTTAGACCGCTCGGCCATCTCACCATGTCTGCTTTTAGAAACCCTCCTACCTCACCCCCCTTACGTCCCCTGCCTGCCCCACGTTGAAGACGGAGGAAAACCAAATATGCCGGCCAGGCTTAAATTAAACTACTCCGGTTCGATGTATCCAAGGTGTACCTCTATTTTGCCCAAGGGAGAAATGCAAAGACAGCAGATACTACTTTATTTACATGGGGTGAGGTTTGAATTTCAAGCCATATTCCGGGCTGTTCCGCTTTCCTTGCTCAATCCAAGGAGTAAGTAGCCCAATAGTACTAATGCATACGCCAGGGTCACTTGAACATCAAACCTCAGGCCAAAGCAAATGGGCCATACATACTCCGCAACACTCCAATGCCAACTCCCTGTCATTGTCAAGCGGGGTATGCACTTTCTACAGCTCACAGCAGCACACACATTGCAAAATGCCCGCACAGCAAAAAAGAAAGCGGATTTTATTTTGTGAGGCCGACGACACAAATCATCAAGCACCATCTAAAGCAACATGTGCGCGCAATTATATCCTAGATCGAGTACGGGTACGGACGAGGGTAGAGAACAGAATTGTTTTTACGAGGCGAAAGAGGTAACATGGTCCTCGACGACTTTCTTGATCTTGGCCTCCATCTCGGGGGTGACGGTGCCGGTGGCGATCTCAGCGAGGAGCGAGGTTTGTGATGTCTGGAGGTGCGAGCGGAACTCGGCTTCCCACTTGGTGATCTTGTCGACGGGGATGGAGTCAAGCTAAAGGGAACAGGAGAGTTAGGCGTGAACAATGGGGGGCAAGGGGCGATGTGACTTACGAGACCGTTAACACCGGCGTAGATGATGGGCACCTGGACCTCAGTGGCCATGGGCTGATACTGACCTTGCTCTGCAAGGATATCAGCATCAAGTCAAAAGCAAAGGACAGTAGACGTACTGAGGAGCTCGGTGAGACGGGCACCACGGGAGAGGAGGAAACGGGTGGAGGCATCGAGATCAGAACCGAACTGGGCGAAGGCAGCGACCTCACGGTACTGCGCGAGGTAGAGCTTGAGCGAACCAGCGAACTTCTTCATGATTTTGCTGTTGGGAAAACGTCAATAGAGGTGGCATATAAACACGACCAAGACATACGTCTGGGCAGCGGAACCGACACGGGACACGGAAAGACCGACGTTGATGGCGGGGCGGACACCACGGAAGAAGAGCTCAGCCTCCAAGAAGATCTGACCGTCGGTAATGGAGATGACCTAAATGGGGCAAGTTCAACAAACAAGGAAAAAGTCGGGATGAAAAGTGACAGCGCACGTTAGTGGGAATGTAGGCGGACACATCACCACCCTGGGTCTCAATGATGGGGAGGGCAGTGAGGGATCCTCCACCGAACTTGTCGCTCATCTTGGCAGCACGCTCGAGGAGACGAGAGTGGAGGTAGAAGACGTCACCGGGGTAAGCCTCACGACCAGGGGGACGACGGAGGAGGAGGGACATTTGACGGTAGGCAACGGCCTGCTTGGACAGATCGTCGTAGACAATGAGGGCTATAAAACAGCATATAAATAAAAGTCTCGGAAGGAGTGGTCTGTTTTTTCTTCTTACCGTGCTTGCCGTTGTCACGGAACCACTCTCCCATGGCGCAGCCAGAGAAGGGAGCGAGGTACTGGAGAGGAGCGGCCTCAGAGGCGGTGGCAGCAACGATGATGGTGTACTTCATCGCATCGTTCTCCTCGAGGGTCTTGACGAGCTGAGCGACGGTCGAACGCTTCTGGCCGATAGCAACGTAGACACAGTAAAGCTTCTTGCTCTCGTCCTGGCCGTCGTTCCACCTCTTCTGGTTAAGAATGGTGTCGATGGCGACAGCGGTTTTGCCGGTTTGACGATCACCAATGATCAACTCACGCTGACCACGACCAATGGGCACCATGGCGTCGATGGGCTTGAGACCAGTCATCATGGGCTGATTGACGGAGCGACGGGGCAGGATACCAGGGGCCTTGAGAGAGGCACGGCGACGCTCGGCAGCCTCAATGGGGCCTTTGCCGTCAATGGGGTCACCGAGGGCGTCAACAACACGACCAAGGAGACCAGGACCGACAGGGACGTCGACAATCTGGCCAGTCCGCTTGACTGTGTCGCCCTCCTTAATGAGACGATCGTTACCGAAGATGGAGACACCGACGTTGTCGGCTTCCAAGTTCAGACACATGCCACGAACACCTGAAGAGAATTCCACCATCTCTTCGGCTACCAACGGAAGGAAATTAAGAGGATGGTTAGGGAATTCGGGAAAATGCTACCGACCTTGCACATTGCGGAGACCCCAAACACGGCCAATACCGTCACCAACACCTTGAATTGAAATTTGAGGCGCGTTGGTAAATTCGTTAGGGATGCGACTCACTCAGAACACGGCCAGTCTCCTCAACGTTAGCGCCAACAGCAGTGCCGGAGATTCGGGACTCGAGAATGGACGAGACTTCGGAAGCGGCTGTGTGTGACGTGTAAAAAATACGCGGGAGAGAGCGGGGAAGGAAATAGATGGGCGCGTCATTAGTTGGTGGGGTTCCCTGTATGAATGCAAAGGAGAATACGCACCAGGCTTGGCGGTAGCATACGAACGGGCGACAACGGGCTGGTAAAAGCGCGAGTTGTGGGATGAGACTAGGGCGAAAACGAGCGGAAAAAGAGAGGAATTGCTGACCTTTGCAGCAGCCGCGAGACGGGTGCGCGCCGAGTTTCTAAGAGCAATACGGTGCATGGGGAAGGGAGGTGGAAGTGGGATACGGGATGAGCAGGGAAGTTTTCGGTTCCAAAGGTAAATCGGCGTTACTCGGAAGATTCAGTCTCCGCTCTAATTCCCAAATTTCACACAATTGCCTCGTCCCCGTCAGTCACACTGTGCACGATGCTTGGCCGTTTAGCGCGTGGTGGTGAGCAGTTCATATATTTACTGAATCCACTTCTAATAGTCAACTAGTCCCTGCACTCCGTCGCGCACTCCATACTGGCTCCCAGCCAAACTCAACCACCGCTGCACTTGACCTCATCCGCTCACAGCCATCCCACTACGTCGTTGCAAACTTTGTCGGCAGAAAATATATCCTCGCTCCACGCGACCTCCTCACCGTCCCCCGCCCCCGCGACGTTCAGGTCGGTGACGTCCTCACTCTCGACGAGATACACGAGCTCGGCTCCCGAGAATACACCCTCCGCGGAAACCCCACAATATCCCCAGACCGCGTCCGCGTTCAGGCCACCGTCGTCGAGCACACAAAGGGAAAAATGGAGTCCATCTTCAAGAAGAAGAGGAGAAAGGGTTACCAAAAGACCATTACCCACAAGCAGCCATACACTCGCCTCCGCATAGGCGACATCGAAATTCCAATATCATCATCATAGCCCACCCGTACTTATTATTTCATTGTCTTGTAGGATATATACTTTAATTCAAACTGAAAACAAATGCGTGTTTCAACTCCTCAAGAGTCGCCCGTGGCTCTTCACGCCTGTACCCCGCTCGCTGACCGGAAACACCTCTGTAGCAAGCTATCACACTAACCTTTTCACCGAGCTCATCCTGAATACGGTTGTCATACACGTCCCGCTTCAAAGTTGCCTCCTTGTACAGCAACACACTGCATTCCCTCTCCCCCATACCGTCTCCCATCCTTCTCCTTCCTCCTATCGTCATCCCTGTGGTACCCATGCTTCTTGTCATAGTCCTTGTCGTGGTCACGTCCGTAGTCTCTCGACGAACGGTGATCGTGCTCGTCATACCGATGGATCATAGTCCTTGCCCCGATCCTAGTCCTTTGTACGCTCTCGCTCCCGTTCACGGTCGCGGTGATAGGGCTCTCCGTCCTTCTACCGCGAAGACGGACAAGGCAAGCCTTGAGATGTGTATGTCTTGTTAAAGAAGTCTTGTGCTTCAACTCGACACCAGACGTAGACAAAAGTAACCACGCACATCATTACCCAATCTATCTCTGACGAGCGTCAAGGCTGTCGATGTATCACCAGCGTTAGATGCCGAGGTGTGTTTCTTCCAATGTTTTGAATATATTTCCTTACGTTCCTAGGTGTAGCTATTTTCTGGCAGAAACATATGTTCCGTGACATAATTAGGACGAGGTGTATACTAACGACGGAGCATTACAGGCTAAAGTACCTGTACCTGTTGTTTGTCTGGTGGATCTGATATATATCCCTAGAGAAATGGCTGTTCAGAACGTGTGAACACCAAATACTTAACACCAAAGCCTACCTTCCAGGCCTCGCTCTCTCTTTCTTCCGAACACCCATCCTGGCTGCTCAGCCGAACTTCGCCAACATGGTTCAGGCCTTTGGCGCTCTGGGCGCAACACTATCAACAGGATTGATGCACGGCTCCTCACAGTGGAGCAGGAAGTCTCTGAACAATCTTTTCTGGGATCATAATCTAACTAGGATGTTTTAGACACACCCACCTCTTACCAATGCGGCTCAAAAATGCCATTGCTTCAAGC